TTTGGCGGAATTAGATGAAATTAGATGGGATTCGAAATGAGATGGTCCAATCCCATGGAATCCAAAAAAGAAAAATTTCAATTTTATCCAATCCTATAAAATCCGTAAAGGTTATGGAATTGCATGGCATTAGATGGTTTAGGAAACGTCTCGCGCCTCCGTTGAGCGACCAAACGCCGTTGTTCGTCGGTGAGCTTTTGTGTATGCCTAAGGGCATTACACGCACTACTGCCGACGGGCAATTAGCCCGAAAATGAGATTTATAAGATCTGTCAGGCACCGTAGGGGGTCCCCTTTATATAGCGGTCGAGACGAAACTTTGAACTCGAGAAGATGCCCCGGCGATGCCTAGCGGCGTCGACGCGAATTGCCGGTAATGCAGATATTGCGCGGGCGTGTTCTATTGTTGGCGCGTACCGCCACAGAGTTCAACACGGACACTTTTCAATCCCTATCCTGGCATTCAATGGTATTCATTTTATTGTCAGAAAGGCGGAATTCAATGGAATTCAATACGGAAATTTTTAATTCCTAGTTTGGCGTTCAATGGTATTCATTTCGTTAACGGAATCAATGGTATTTAATGGAATTCATCACGAAACTTTCCAATCCCTAACCTGGCATTCAGTGGTATTCATTTCGTTAACGGAATCAATGGTATTCAATGGAATTCATCACGAAACTTTCCAATCCCTAACCTGGCATTCAGTGGTATAATATTTTTGTGTCGGAATTGGATGAGATTCAAAAAAGACAATAAATTCTTTCCAAAATAAGGAATTCCATGATATTGAAACTATTTCAATCCCTTTTTGGACAGAATGGAATTCGGAAAGTCCTTAATTGAATTCCTGGCAATCCCGTTGTAATTCTTTTCAATCTTTTTTCGTTTGCTGGGTTCTCATTTATACACCGCTCATCGTTTCTCAGATCAGATTGTATATGTTTTGACGCGTTAAAGACGGCTCAGACTGTGTTCTGAGTTACACATAAATTAAAGAAATAATTAAAGAAATAATTAACACCTTCCACGCGCGTCCTTCTCATCCCGCTTTCATCGCCGGGAAAAATCAGCGATTTTGCGAACACTTTCTAAAATAATCTACATTTCCGTAAGGCAGAAGCCGTTTTATTGTATGTTATAATACTTCTAAATCTCAAAATCTTAAATAATTGTGGTTAATATCATGGCTATTGTCAAACCACATTTGTAATAATTTGTGAACTATATAATGTATATAATCACATTTAATTTTTCATATATTTTCAAAGTTTTATATATACCTATATATATATATATATATATATGTATATATATATTGTGACGTTGTACTGCGTGCCCGTCACAGTTCTCCCCGTTCCCCTCGTTGTATTGCGCGCGTACTGTTGAGTTGTATAGTTTTCAGGAGGAAGCGGCCGGAGGGCCCGTTTAGACAGCGTGGCGCCATCCGCCGGGGCGGTGGAGCGTCCTGATCTAGAGGGCCGCGAGTCGAAGCCGCGAGTCGAAGCCGCGAGTCGAAGCGGCGGGGGATGATCGAGGACTGTTGGGTAGACCGCGAGCGAGGACGGACGTCGAAAGAGGAATTGTAGAGAGAATAAGCGAGGGCGGCGGCCCTAATAGATCGATTGGCGCACGGAAGGAAGGACGAGATGTAACCAGCCACCCATCCCAGACATCAGGTATCGGGGAACGGCGGGCGGAGTGTCGGTATCGTGTCGCGTAAGATTTTGAGAGAGACGCGTAGGCTTGCTTGAGCGTTTCCTTGCCTACGCGCCATTGCCGTGAATCCATTGAGAGGATTATAGCTTTTCGTTTCGTTTCTACGGGTAAGACATAGCCCGCCCGCTGACTCCCCGTAAGAATATCAAAGGGGGCGTCCGTTTCTTTCCGACTCGACCGACCTGGGATCGGATAGTAAGAACGGTGCGGCGCCGGCCGCCCGTCACGAGGGTGATGCGTGTCGCGGGATAAAACCTCGCTGGTCGCCTCAACAGTCCGTCGCGTTAGATTACCGTTTCGAGTATTAAGAGATTACCGTTTAGGATTATCGTGCCTATCGATTAGGTGTAAGATATCGGCGTTTCCGTTAGAGTCCGTTTTCGCGTAGTGAAAGTTTCGTCGTGCGGGCTTTCGTGCATACGCTTGTTCTGGGGCGTGTCGGTCTCCGGGATACGTAAAGTACCGCGCCCGGTACGGGAAGCGTGAGGCGTCGGCTTACCGGACTTAGAGTCAGCCTTCTCGAGGAAGGTGCCCGAAATTGACCGCGATATGCGAGAAATTATTTAACGTTCAGAAATTGAGAATACCGCACGCCCCGGGCTGGATTAGGCGTGAGTATCACGTGCTCGCGGTGTGGACCGTACGGCGAGGCTTCGCGTTACGTTTCGAGAACTCCTGTGTTGTGTGTATCGTTAGTTGGTGAGAAACCTTGAGTTTTATTTACGTGTATCGTTTAGTTTACCAGGAATTTTATTTGGCGTACATCGTTTAGGTTGCGAGAAGCCTTGAGTTATTGTGCGTGTATCGTTCATTTTGCGAGAAATTATTTTGCGTGTATCGTTCATTTTGCGAGAACTTATTTTGCGTGTATTGTTCATTTTGCGAGAAATTATTTTGCGTGTATCGTTCATTTTGCGAGAACTTATTTTGCGTGTATGGTTCATTTTGCGAGAAATTATTTTGCGGGTATCGTTTATTTTGCGAGAAACTATTTTGTGTGCCTCATTTACTGGGCGAGAAATTGTTGTGCGGGTAGCGTTTCTTCCGCGAGAAATTACTGTGCGGGAATCGTTTATCGTCCTACGAGAAACCCTTATTTTGCAGATATTGCCCCTTCGGCACGAATTTTCGCGGGTAGCGGTTCCCGAGAACTTTCCGTTCGCGTACGTTGAAGTAGAGTCATTCTCAGTTATTGGTCGCGCCAAGATAGAGTAGAGTCATTGTAATTCCTATTCGGTGTGACGTGGTGGATGTGGTCCTAATGATGGATCTCAGGAATGGGGCATATTTGGCCCTACGCTAGAACTGACGGAACACATAACGTCACACTTATTTTTTTATTTCATCAGAGAATCTCGCGTCTGAGGTGATATCTTCCTTACGGCGTTCGACGTAGTTCATCGCGTGTACTACTTCGGGATTGCAGGTATTATTTCGTCGACATACATTATCACTTCTCGCCTATTTAATAGCGTAGATCCGCGGGTAGTGTTTCGTTGGCGCATATTATTAGGTTTCGCGCCTTTCACCGCGTAGATTATCCCTGAAGTGGATTTTCCCGAGAATCGTAGTTCAGCGTCCGAGTTTATTTATAACGCGCGGACCCTGCGAAAGACCCTGCGTGGTCGGGGGTTGGTGATTGATTACGGCGAATAATTCGCTCGTGTCCCGTAAGTTGTAACGCTGTTATCTCGCTTTATCTTATATTATACTTAGAGTTACATGTTACTTGAGTACTTTCTTTTGTGTTTGTTTCGCCTCGCCAATGGTCAAATCCCTCCGCAGTCAGCCTATGTAAGGACCACGACCCTCTATCGAAAATCCTGAGCAGTCGTTGCGATCGGTCAGAGCGGATGTGTCATGACGCGTGAGTTAAGAGTTGTGTCGATATTTAAAGTTTATGTCGGATCTTTGTAGAGTTCATGTCGAGTACTTTCCGCGGGTTAGAGTAAACGGTGGTGTGGCCGTATCCACACCTGGCGCCCAACATTGTTGAGTATCGCTTTCGAGATCCGCTCTGTCACCCGATCATATATTTGCTACGCGATTCAGACCCGCCTCACGGGCCGGGACAAATCATATAGAGAAATAAGCGTCGCAATATATATATATATATATATATATATATATATATATATATATATATATATATGGGGCATTCTCTGTCAACCGGACACCCCCCTTTGCCCAAAATTTGTGTCGACCGATTGAGGTCAATGAGGGCTCAAATTGTAGGTAATGATATGTAGTTTCTCGTACCGTGTGGCCTTTTTGAGAATTCAAGATGACTAGCAAGGTGTCACAATGATAATCGGAGAAAACAAGAAAAAAATCAGTAAACGACTTTCCGTATGCCACACGATCAATCAAAGCTGTAAAACTATTGATGGGATGGTTTTTGAGGTCGTTGATTACGAAACTGAAGTAAAAATTTTAAAATTTAAGATAGCGGATCAAATATGGTTAATTATATATATATATATATTAACATATATTATATACATATATAATAATAATTTTTAGATAATTATTACCTGTTGGGAGATAGTGCTTATCCTTGTTTGAAACAATTGATTGTTCCATATAAGGATAACGGACACTTGACACGTGCACAAAAATCATTCAACTAGAAACTAAGCTCATGCAGAGTTGTTATCGAAAATGCATTTGGCTGCCTTAAGCAAAGATTTCGTCAGTTATATCATTTCAAATTGCGAGATATACCACAAATGGTACGAGTCATACATGCATGTTGTGTATTACATAACATTGCGAATGTGCAAGACCTACACTATTTTGAACCACAACTAAATGAAGAATATCCTGATATTGAATTACAAAATAGACCAATTGTAATGATCGATAATGCAAGGGAATATGAGGATGATGTGAGAGGAACGCATGTTCGTGACGAAATCTGTAATTTACTGTCTCGATAAAAAGAAAATAATGTATTATAATTCAAATATTTTGTATTATAAATTTTTTTATTTTGTAATGCATAAAATATAGAATATAGATATACATGTATGTTTATAATATATATGCATAAAATGGTAGATATTATATTGCCAAGTAATAAACAAACATCAAGAAAACAGTTTTGTATGTACATTAGCTTTTACATTACAGTTAGATATTGCAGTTACTACATAAAAAAGTTATTTATTAAGATAATATTTAAAATAAAACAAAAGAAACAGTATTGCATTAAATTGAAATAATGCCAAAAACAAAACAAAAATAAATTATAAAACTTTAAGTCTTTAACTTTAATTACTTATTTAGTTTGCTTATCGAGATAAGCTTTTAATAAATTATTTCTTTCTTCTCTCATTTTGTTTGCAATTATCAATTGCTCCTGTACTTTGTCTAAATATTTTTCATACGATTGTCTCATTTGTCTATATTCCGTTAATATCTCTTTTTCTCTTTCAATTTTATCGTGCTTTTCTTCTTGAATACGTTCTATCAGTTCTTTCATACTTTCTTGACACATTTGCAATACTTTTGCTGTTGTGCCCATTTGCCTCTTGTTTCTGCTTTGCATTTCTTCAACAGAAAGTGTGTTTTGTAGATTAGACTGATTAGACATAGTTGGTGTTGTTGCTATTGGCATTGATTCTTGGTTGGTTGTTCCCGATTCAAATATTGAAATATCTTGACTGGCTGATGCGTTACTTCCTGTCGGTATATTTTCTGTTTCAGATACACCACTAGTGAATCTATAATGACATTAATTAGTATTAAATACATATTAAACAATTTGTGTAAACGATATTATTTGTGTATAAAGAAATGTCTTCCATATATGTGTTCTTTAAACATTAACTAAACTTTAGTAATTATTATTATGTAAAAGTTTAGTATTTATTATTATGTAAAAGATTATATAATATTATCTAATATAAGAAATAATACACAAATTATTAAAAGAACTTATATAAAACTTACGTAGGTGTAGTTCTGTCAGTTCTCAGTATTGTGCCTTTATTTCCAGATGTGATTAGAGGTTCAATATTATGTTTACTCCCAATTAAATCCGTCAATTCTCTATAATAATGCATTTTATATTATAAAAAATATTTTCCTACTACAATTTTTTTAAGATAGATATTTGAAAAAAGTTAAAGCAAAAAATCTTAGTGCATAAGTATATATAAATGTATTACATTTGTATATATATTATATTAATTCTTCAGTTGAAATATAATAACTTACGTTTCATATGGACATGTTGCTCTACTTCTGCCAGTTTTTTTGTTATTTGTAATCATATTTTTGTAAGCTCTTTTTAATGATTTAACTTTATTTTCAGTTTGTATATTTGATACATTATAGTCTTGTATATTCATTTCTTCTGCTATTTTTTGCCATAATACTTTTTTGTTTCTAATTTTTCTTGTCGTAAGTAAATGTATTTTTTCTTTATAAAAACATAAAAATAATTTTGTGCTTGCATCTGACCATGAAAATGTTTCTTCTATACTTTCTGAGCTTTCTGGTATTCTATTTTCCATGGAGTGAGTCACAGTTGCGCACAGAATAAATCGGACACAGCAGGTTGAATGAATCGGACACAGTGTCGATCGGACACAGTAGGAAACGGACACACGGTGGTTGCAATCGGACACAGTGCGGATCGGACACAGTGCGGATCGGAGACAGTGTCGATCGGACACAGTAGGAAACGGACACAGTGCGGATCGGACACAAGGCGGATCGGACACAGTGTCGATCGGACACAGTAGGAAACTGACACACGGTGGTTGCAATCGGACACAGTGCAGATCAGACACAGTGCGGATCGGACACAGTGTCGATCGGACACAATGTCGATCGGACACACGGTGGTTGCAATCGGACACAGTGCAGATCGAACACAGTGCGGATCGGACACAGTGTCGATCGGACACAGTAGGAAACGGACACAGTGCGAATCGGACACAGTGTCGATCGGACCAGAGAGAAACCTGAGAGCGGCCATCCGGCTTCGGGGGACGTCTGTCCTAATCTGCCCTCTGAGAAAGTGGACGTCAACTACGGCGTTACGCTCGGTAACGATCAGAGAGGACTCGGGTAACGATACATGGGTTTGTATCCATGCTATGGTTCGTGTCCGAACTACTCAGATGGAGGGGATATGCTGGTCGCGCAAGCCTTTCCTCTGTCCGTGTACGCTAGGCCCTCGGCAAGCTTCGAGCGGGGAGAGAAGGGCAGACATACAATCTGCTGTCTCTCTTGAGCTGTGACGTTGCCGCTTTGCACGGGCCGGCTTGCCGGCTATACCACGATGCCACGCATTTGGGGTATCGCGTCTCGTGTCTCGCCGAGTCTCGAGTTGACAAATCGACGATACGCTATACCCGTTATATACGTTACATTTGTTTGTATACAAATTTTAATTTTTATATTTATAATTAAATATATATATATATATATATTTATATATATGTATATATATTTGAAATTTATAGATATATAAAGATTGCAAATATAATTAATTAAATAAATATTTATAAACATAAAAACTAATATTCGTAAATGTAATGTATAGAAATCACCGTTCTATGCTTTTCTATCTAAAAAAGTCTTACATTAAAAACCTTTACTTTGCATAATAAATTTTAAATTTAATATTTAAATGCATACCAATAATTATATTAACTATATTGAGAAAAAAATGGTAGTTTATAATGTTTCTTGCACTCTTATTAAATTTATTTTACCTATGCATGTTCAAGCGGCCAAATTACGAGCAACAACAGAAGGATAATTGGATAAAAATAAAAACACATTCTTAAATAAACAATACACATGGGTAACAGTGAGTTCTATTATAATTCTCGTATAGTTCTGAACGTGTTCTAACGTTTATTTCTAAAGAGTTCTGACGATAAGCATTATTTATTCATATTTTAAATAATTTTTATCGCCCAAGAAAGACGCATTTACGGGTATGTGGGTGAGATGCTGTAGAAAATCTCGGAGTTCTGGCTTATATAAAATATTTTTCGTACAGTTCTAAGCATACTAAAACAATTTCTAAAGAGTTCCGGGCATTGGCAATGTTGTATAATTTTTAAATAAATTAATAACTCACGAAAGTCAGGAATTTATCGAGAATAGGGTCTTTCTCGAGCGATAAGAATTATTTAAAAAATGAATAAATAATGCTTATTGCCAGAATAAAATGGGACAACGTTAGAACACGTTCAGAACTACACGAGAATTATAGCAGAACTCACAGAACTGCCGAAATACGGCCAGCGTCTCACCTTATTTTCGATAAATTTCTGATTTTCGAGCGGTATTAATTTATTTAAAAATTATACAACGTAGCTAGTGTTTGCTAAAGTTAATAAACATATATATACAACGTAGCTAGTAGCGGGAACTCTTTAGAAAATGCTTTAGTATGCTCAGAACTATACGAAAAATGTTTTATATAAGCCAAAACTCCGAGATTTCGCACAGCGTCTCATCTTCTTCTGTCATGATTACTTTTCGGTTAATATTAATTTTTTTAAATATAACACAAAGATTCTAACGCTCGGAACTCTTTAGAAAATGTTTCAATATGCTCAAAACTACTCGAAAAATATTTTACATAAACTGGAACTCCGAGATTTCAACTGGCGTCTCAACCGGTATACTCGATGCATTGTAATTTTTTTTAGTATCTTATAATTAATTTTTTTGCTTTTATATGGCAAAACTCTTTATAGAACTGTTATAGAACTATAGATCTTGCAAAATCTGATGAGATAAACTCTTTATAGAACTGTTATAGAACTATAGATCTTGCAAAATCTGATGAGATACAGTGGTGGAACTTGTGTAGGACAAAATGAGACGCTGCGTGAACATAGCGTCTCAGTTTGTACTGACGCGTTTTTTGAAAGAAGCCAGAACTCTCAATAATTTGTGAGTTTCTGCAAAATAAGACGATAGCTTCACACACACGTTAGGAAGAGAATGTATAAAGAATTATTAACGGAGATATTTTAATTTAAAAGATCATTAAAATATATATTTTTCAGGAATGTTTTATAGGGAAACGAAGAAAGTGAATAACGTTAAACTTTGCATGTTTTCTTCACTTTATTTTAAAAATGTATTTTTATTTTTTAAGTAACAAAAATGCTCTTTTTTCTGTTATATCCTGGTCACTATAAATGGCAGACGATGTAAATAATTCTAGCTGTTTTAGGTATCTGAAACGCAAAAAGCTAAAATTTTCTTATTCTGCAGAAGAAGTGTGGCTATCGTCTGAACTAGAACTAAATCAATTTTTCCATTCTGAGCGGCTTTTTTATTTAAAATATTATAACTTTTTTCAAAATTTTATTAATATTTTATTAAAAGAAAATGTTTATTCTAGTTCAGACGATAACCCATATCACTTATTCTGAATAAGAAAATTTTTGGTTTTTACGTTTCTGATACCTGTCGATTTAAGCTGCTTTAACTGTTATTCTATTCACTGGCGAAATAAATTTATTATTCTGATTTTTAATAATATAAGAGAAATAAAACCGTTTTATGTGACCGTTATACAATCAATCAATATTAAATAAGCCGTGTACGATCCGAGCTTGGATCTTAATAGCCTAATAATATTTTTTATGTATAATTACACGTATATTTTTTCCAATCTTAATAAATTGCGCGTTGACTAACTTGTCAGACTTACAACACAGCTCCTGTTGGAGTAGTAAATTCTTTACTATTATTTAAATCGATTTAATTAGAAAGGTGTGAGGGGATTTTATTAATCCAATAGGAGCTGTGTTGTAAGTCTGACAAGTTAATCGGCGCGTATTATAGTTGATTAAAGTTGGAAAAATATGTAAATATAGTATATAAAAAATATTATTAAGCTACTATAAAATCTAAGCTCAGATCGTAAATGGTTTATTTAATATTAATTAATAATATTTTTGATAAAAAAGCCGCCTAGAGAACCTAGAATAAAAATATTGGTTTAGTTCTAGTTCAGACTATAGCCACATATACTTCTTCTGAATAAGAAAATTTTTGATTTTTAGGTTTCAGATACCTAGAACAGCTAGAATTATTTACACCGCCTGTCATTTATAATGACCAGGATATAACAGAAAAGAAGAGCATTTTTGTTACTTAAAAAATAAAAATAAATTTTTAAAATAAGGTGAAGAGAACATGCAAAGTTTAACGTTATTCACTTTCTTCGTTTCCCTATAAAAAGTTCCTGAAAAATATATATTTTAAAGATCTTTTAAATCAGAATATCTCCGTTAATAATTCTTTACATTTTCTTCCTGACAGAAGAGATTTTACCACTTCTCAATATAAATATAAATTTATCTTGTTATGGTTTTATTCAATTATTCCGGCGTTTTTATATTTGTGATTTAATTAGATTATTGTTTACTTTGTTTATATTATTAGTTCGCCAACATGTTTAATGTTTTAGTCTAGACTAATGTTTAATGTTTTAGTATGTAAACTTGAACATTAATTATCATGTTTTTTTATATTTATCTTCTTTTATCGTAGTAATCCGTTCCGAAGAAGACTAAGTACAGTCGAAACGTTGAGCATGTGTATTGTTTATTTAAGAAATTGTTTTTATTTTAATTCAATATCTCTCTGTTGTTGCTCGTGGCCGCTTATAAACATTAATAGCTATAATATAAATTTAATAAGAGTAAAAAGAACATTATGAACTACTTTTTTTCTCGATATAGTTAATATGTAATTATTGTTATGCATTTAAATATTAAATTTAAATACTATTATGCTAAAGTAAAGGTTTTTAATGTAAGCCTTTTTTTGATATAAGAGCAAATTTGCCAGAACGGGGATTTCTATACATTACATTTACGAATTTTAGTTTTTATGTTTATAAATATTTTTTTAATTAATTATAATTTCAATTTTTATATTTATAAATTTCAAATATATAGGTATATATATATATATATATATATATACATATATTTATTTATTTATTTATTTATTTATAAATATAAAAATTAAAATTTGTAAATATAAACGTAAATGTAACGTATAGCGCATCGTCGATTTGCCAACGCGAGACTCGGCATTCGGCGAGACGCAAGGAGCGATATCCGAAATGCATGGCATCGTGGCATAGTCGGCGGCGCCGGCGCGTGCTAAGCAGCTACGTCACAGCTCAAGCGAGAAGGAGACAGCAGATCGTATGTCTGCCCTTCTCTCCCCGCTCGAAGCTTGCCGAGTGCCGAGTCAGCCGACTGGCATATCCCCTCCA